CAGCAACACTAAGTTCTAGTCGATATCAATGGGAGATGCGTCGGTGGCACGGCGGTTAGGACGCTCGCCAACCATGCACATGGCTCGGGGTTCGATCCCCAGATAACGCACTCCTTCACCTCGCTGAGGCAGTAATAGAACTGACAAAGAGGGAAGGTTGAGCATGAGGCTAGCAGCACTATCCCGTAAAAGTAAACACCACTGCTACAGGAACTTCGAGCCTCTAGCTTGAAGCCTTATGTTCCACTGGGAACGTGAAGGAATAAAAAAATAGACCAAATTTTCTACATGTCTGTTTCTCTCACCACATTTATTGATTAATGACCTAATTTTCTCTCACCCTACTTATGACCTTTGAAATTCTATTGGTTGTTCACTGTTTTAAACTACCAGTGACATTGGTGCCTCTAAAGGTCATTATATATATATATATACGTAGGCGTTGCCATTTTTCTTGATTGTTGTTTGAGACAACAAAAGCTCACCCACCAACTTCCAGCCTTCTCTTCTGGCATTGCATCCCGGCAGTATTATTTTCATTGTTGCTATCGACGTGCAATTGGGACAGACTAGCCAGTGCGCATCAAGTTAGTATTCGCTTATAGTCTACTAGGTCGTATTCCCGGTCATAACATGTACTAGTACTGGGAAACGTCATCAGCAACATTGGGTGACGATAGTGCATAAGATGGATTCTGTGAGGCTGATCTTTAGTATTCCGTTTTAACGAACTCCTTGCATAAACTTACAACTTCTGTTTTTTATTTCCCCGCGAGTGAGATCATAAGTGCATACACTCCTGAAGAGTTGTCTGCGACTGGAACGAAACACTGCTCAGTGCTCCATAGTTTTCAATGGCTGTTTAATTCATATCAGTTCGTGATCTAAATTTGCAAGCCCTTTCCATTAATTCTTTTGCATTCTGTGTGAAGCATAGGGCTTCAAGATTTAAAGTGTTACTACTTACGAATGAGATTTTTCATTTCTCTATGGGGTGAGACGCGGCTAACCTCATACACACACAACCGTCCCTTTTTACGCGGCTTACTGTAGTGTTATGTTATGTAGTAGCCACACCTCGACTGGACATTTTAAATCAATCGCTACAGACAGATGCAGTGTTTATTTCATAAATCTGGATTTAGTTTACATTGTGGACATGAATTAACCTTATTGGGCAATTTGTTTAATCTTGGGTCATTTGCCAACCAATGAGGACAATCTATTCTCTTCGGACCTAACCAAACTTCAACGTGGTTAGGAATTTATAAATATGATGAGTTTTTTCTCCCTCCGATGAAGTGAGGTCAGGTTGAGTTCGTCCACCACTTGGTGGGGGTGGGGACGTCGAACCCCAAAAACACCATTAAATCCCTACAAATAAACACTTAAGCAGTACGCACCCACCGGGGTTGATGAGTCCCAAACTAGGGTGACGAAACAGCTGTCCAGTACTCCCAGTTAGTTTCCCAATGGTTCTCTAACCGATGTCAACTCATGATGATATCCTGTAATCAATCAATCAAATCCCTACAAACTAATACTAGAAAATAAACACTTAAGATTAGTGAACAAAAAACAATAAATCCCATCCATCCTAGCACAAGTACACACAACACATAACATTGCAGAAAAACACATCGAAAAAAATTGTAAGAAGGAGAATTCATTTTCTTTCCTTTTGAATTTTTTTCTTGTTTCTCACATAAAAAAGAGAATTACACAGAGCGCATATTGTAAAACATTAGCAATTATAGTAATCATAATATTATAATAATAATAATAGTAGTAGTAGTAATAATAATAATAACAAGGGAATGACAATCATCAATCAGTTCAGGGGGTGTGAAAAATACATATATGTGTTGTATATGTATACATAATTCACTTGAATACATACACGCACGTAAGCATCCACCCACGCATACCATATGGGAACGATTGGTGCGTACCTTTCTGCAGCCACCCACCCACTCACACACACACTACACATAGATAAATTTGATTGGTAGATGTCGTACGCACGCACCTATTGGATAGTCTTTACAATTGGATAAAATGACACACATAGATTTGCATATATTAGTAATAATAACGATAATAGTAACAACAATGAGAATGCTATTCACAATATGGTCATCAAGACACACACACAGACACACATAAATACACCAATCACATCTTCATAATATATTAACTGTCATCAGAGAATTGATAATCATTATGTGAGGGAGACAGAAAGCAAAAAGTTGAAAGCAGAAAGAGGGATTGAAACAATTGAAGACGCGAAAAAACTCTGACTCACTCACTCACCCACCCACCTCTGATCCTGGTAACAAAGAGCAATAAATATTAGGACAGTGGTGGTACCCAGCTTTTCTGAAAAACCATACTTTCCTTATTCTTACAATTATTCAATCGACTGGAAAGGAAAATGAGATACAGAAGAGGAAAAAGAAGAGGGTGGCGAAAGAGAACACACTGAAACTCATGGAAGCACTTGGTTTTTTTTCTTTGTGTAGGGGAAAAATTACAAAAACAAAAGGGATGGACAAACTTTGTCATTAGTATTTCATCACCCCCCCCTTCAGTAATGGTGTGTAAAACATGCTCAAACGAGAGTGGAAAGGTAGGGATGGTAGGTACGCTGAAGACCAAAAGACGAAGTAGGGAAGTGATGGTTCACAAAAGAGGTGGAAAATTGACTCATTATTATTGTGCAAGCAAAGCAGGGATAGTATTTGTTTTCAAAATAAGGAGAACGGCACATACCTATTTTTATGATCATATATATACGTGCACGTACATACACACACACACATGTATTACTAAAAACCAAATTGATAAATACATATAAATAAATGACTAAAATGAGATTGAGATCAGATTTGATAAAGTCAAACGTAGAGTCACAGTTACTACGTATACACACATAAAAGGCAGAGAAAAGACAGCGGGGTGGGGTGAGGCAGGAGAGACACAGAGAGAAAGAACAAGATTGTCAGTGTGTTGTATACTGTGCAGAGTTAGAGAGAGAGAAAGGCCTATAGTTAGTTAGACAAGTGTACAAGTTGTACAACAGCAGATTCTGAATTCGGCTGGCTAAATACCCCCACACTCATTCGTTTTTTTTAATTTCTATATTCACATGTATGTGTGTTTGTATGTATGTGTGTGAATGTATGTCTCATATAAGAAATTTTAAAAAACACACGTAGTGAGTGACAGAGTAGAAGAAAGGAAAAGATCAATAACACGCCCAACACTCCAACCCCCCTCCCAACCCCTATAACAACAATCAACAAGTTACAATAACAATGAGGCATATAACTGGTAGGTAGGATCTTTTCTTTGTGAACGCACTACTTCAAGGATTTCACACTGCCGGTGAACGCGGATGTTGATTCTTGTTCTCATTATAATTTAAAAAGCATGGAGGAGGGGCAGGAGGGGGCCAAGAAAACACTGCACAGATTACACAACACAACAAACAGGTGGAGAGACGAAGAAGAAAGCGATGGGATAGGATGCAGCAGAAAAGCGAAAAGTAAATAAATACTGTGTTCTTATGTATATGTGTATGTATGCGTGTGCGTGACAGTTGTATTTTATTCTCTCTCAATTTGTCACCCTGAAATGAAACTAAAGCACATAAAAAATTACACAAAAACAAGCATGTTTTTTTCAATCATTGTGTAGTGATTAGATAGAGAACAGATTACGCAACAGAGAAAAAACAATATTAGATGAAAACAAACCACAGTTAGGCGAGAGAGAGAGAGAGAAAAAAGGACATGGGGGAGACCATTGACAGTCAAACTAATCATCATAATCATGGTGTGTAATGGTAAGACAGAGGGCGGCGATATTGTGCACGAATAAGGTGATCATTATTCACACATCGATCGCTGTTGATTTCTTCAAAAATCCTAGGGAAACTCACGAAGGGAGAGAGAGAATGAGGGAGAAGTGGAAGTTCCCCCCCCCTCCCTTTGAATTTCGTTATTTTTTTATTGACATTTTGACAAATCAAAAAAGTTTCATTATTTTAAAGCAAGTAGGTATGTCTACGTCTATGAATGAATTAATTAATTAGGTAAGAGAGTTTCTAGTCAAAAAGGTAAGAAAAGAACATGAATGACACTCAGTGTTAGTATATATATGAGTGTGTGTAACTATAGCCAGCGGAATGGGGTGGGGGGCGATGTGCTGATTTGTCGAAGTGGAAGAAGAAGTGTAAAAGAAGGATTTTTGTGTCCCTATGACCATCATCCTATCACCGCCATCACCACGACTAATCGATCACTTGCGCAATGCATTCTCATTTTACATAAATAACACCAAAACAAGGGCACTTTGAAAGACTCAACAGCCAAAAAACATTGAACAGAGAGGAGAGAGACAGTGAGAGATCATCAAATGGAACAACAGAGGACATCGTGGTAAGTGAAATCAACCCATGCAGACAACAAATACACGAGGGAGAGAGAGAGAAAAAAAGATTACAGGTCATCTACATAATACAGTATATATATAGTACATTTGAAATAATAGGGGGGTTGAGGTGAGGTGGCGTGGGGTGGGGTAGGGTAGGGCGTTACAGGAACAGTATGTATTGTGTATAGTGACAAGAGTGTACGAATAATTTCTGAGCAGAGAAGGATAAAATTGAAATAGATCCTGAGATTTTTGTTGACAAGCTTTTTTTCTTCACTGTATCATATTTTGTGTACACAGAGACAAACACACAAACACACGCACGCACGCACACACACGCGCACGGAGTGGATGTGACAGAGGATCATGCATGCACTGTATATTGATTGACATGTTCTGCTATCGATGATTCCTGGTCGTCTTCTTCCTATTTTCGCTTGTGATTGAAGAATTTTTGATTATTGATTTTTCGAGGGGGTGAGGGTGGGGTGGGGCGGGGTTAAATGCCAAACACGTCACAAAATAAAATGGATGTGATGCGTTGAATACACACGCACACACACACGCACCTACAGACATCTGCATGCACACAGACAGAAAACAACGGTCGGTGGGAGAATTACACAGTGGAGATATTGAGTGAGAGAGGCAGACTGAGAGAGATTGACACAGAGGCAGAGTTGAATAAATAAAAACCAGGAGAGAAAAAAAGGACAATAGGGATTTTCATTCATTCATATAAACTGAGATCGAAGTCGTCGACCTTTGGAACGTCGACCAAGACAACCACAACAACTGAAATGGAAGAAAAGAAGAAAGCAAAGAAACACCATTAGTTACACCAGTTTATATATCTATATATAAATCGTTGAGTTGCTATACTTTTTTGTCCTAGAATAAAGTCTTTCATATCTGCTTTTATAATCCTACCTGATGAAATGCAAGGAGAGACTGGTATAGACAGAGGATGTTCAGAGAGTTCGGATAAGATGATATTCACCGATTTCTTGAATGACTTCATGACTTCTTCTGTCTGGAACTGTTCATCAGTACTCACTCACACCACGACATCACCCTCACCGAGGGGTCAAACGGAGGGCCTTCAGGCTAACAAGGTGACCCTGTAAACCATTCAGCCAACCACTGGGATGGAATCAAATAATCGATCCATTCATTCTAAATTCAGCCAATTTTAGCGATTTTTACCGCCACTGTCAGACAACATGTCACCGTCGAGTATTCGTCCTCACACACAACCCGGTGGATAGTGGACTCCTCCCTGGGTGTCACGACTTCAGTTACTCAGTCACTAGTGAACATCCAGGTAACTACCTACCTGGATTCTAGTGAGAAGTTGTGACCAGTGAGGTACAGCAGGTCAGGGTGTGGGGACAAATATTCGCCGATGACATTGGCTAATGATCGCCCTATATGGTCAAATTACGAAAACAACCCGTAAAGTTCGTGTGTGTGGGTGTGTGTGAGTGAAGCCAATATTTTATCTCTTTTGTTTACCTTTGTGTGATACATAGAGGAATGTGACAACACAAGAAACTGCTGCACTTCTGTATGTGCAGAGATCTACATTCAAAAACCAGTCAGCCAACCAATCAGTCAACTATATGCTGAGACTTGCAGGGATTTGACTGATTTCGAGTTCGACCACCGAAATGACGTCACTTAGAGAAGCATAAAATCACTAAAAGAATAAAGTTTATAGTGAGAAGTCGCGACCAAGTGGAATCTATCAAATTACAGATATAGTAGGATAACAGTGGTACTGTATATCACTGATACAAGAGTCTCAGGGTTGAGAGTTCAGTCCTTGGTGGTGGGGTGGTTCTGGATGAGCATAGTGTTGAATAGTCTGGAACTAGAATGAAGCCACCATGTAGTACTACACCCCACCGCCCCCTGCTTGGATTATAAAATAATTCACTCCAATCACTGATGTCCATCAGTGATATCTAAGGACAATTTACAGCATGAGTTGCACACTTTGTTATCTAGGGAAACTCGAGGGAATAAAGAGGAAACAATACAATTGGAAGGTGTCTGTGAATCAGATGAGAAGACACACACATACACGGACACGGACACAAATGAACGTTAACCACCTCAGCCAACACGAAAAGAGGAAGAGAGAACCGATCATAATACAATAAAAACATACAATTGGATAACACTACCACTTTCAAATAACTGATTAAGAGATAGTAACAAAACCCTAGGATGTACTAACAACTAATTAAGAGAGAAATTAAAACGACACTTTGCAACATTATTAAATAAGCGGAGTATGATAACCGAAAGTGTAGAATCCACTGTTATCTGGATTAACTAACATAGGTCTATTATTATTACTACTACTATTATTCAAGTATTGGTTTGTAGGGATTTGATTGATTTGTTGACCAAGACATCGGCTAGCGCGGTTGCGCTATGTCGTGAACTGTCAGAAGTTAGAATTCACGGGTGCTGGTCATTGGATTGGGTCCCAGTGGCTAAATGGCCTGCGAGCTGCTGCTCACCTTGTACCTAAAAAGGTCCTAGGTTCGAACCCCGGTGGGTGCTCGTACGGATGAAGAGTCCCAAACTAGGACGAAACAGCGGTTCAGTACTCCCAGGTTCTCTAGCTGATGTCAGCTCATGATGAAATCCTGTAACTATTATTATTATTATTAATAAGTGATTTATACGGTGGTGAATGGGAGCATTGTCTCAACTACAGGAGAAACGGACGAAGATGTCAAATCGAGAATCGGAAAGGCGAGAAACACATTCATCAACCTGAAACCAATCTGGAAATCTTCGTCTCTCAGCATCAACAACAAAATTCCGATTTTCAATACAAACGTCAAGTCAGTTCTTCCATACGGATCAGAAACTTGACGGATCACAAAGAATATTTCCAACAGCCTGTTGCAGATCTTTATCAACAACTGTCTTCGCTCAATACTGAGGATCAGATGTTCGGAAAGAATCATTAACAAGGAACTAGGGGAACAAACAAAACAAGAACCAATCGCCAACAACAAATATGCAGAAGAAAGTGGAGACGGATTGGACACTCGCTGAGGAGGCCGCTGGGTGACATCGCGCGTCAGGCCATAGCTCGAGTGGAATCCGAAAGGGAAGCGGCGAGTGGGACGTCAGTGCAAGGGTGACATGGGGGATATCGTGTGAAGAGGAGTTGAAAGAGTATGGATTAACATGGATGCAGGTGGAAAGTACAGCAGAAGACAGAAGCAAGTGGAGATGTGCAGTTTAAGCCCTATGTTCCACTAGGAACCCAAGGGAATAATAATTATTATTATTATAATAAATGGTTAATTCATGATTTTGAAGAAAGCTCAGGTGTCAATCAGTAGATAATAGGCATTCACACACACAATATATATATATACGTGCATGTTACCGTATTGGTGAAATAGACTATGCAGAAGACAGATATGTATGACAATGCCAGGTGTCAGGCATCGAAGCTGTTTAAGATCTAGGACTTCGTAGAGGATTTATGTCTAATTGGTCACATAAATTCGAAAACCTACACATACACGAAAACTAACAACAACAACAACAACAGCAACAAGTTGACAGAAGAGGCAGGCGGCAGTGAGAAGACAGCACTTGAAGTGAACAAAGAGAAGATAACCAATCACCATCGGTAAAAGAAATTTGAAAGAGGTCATTACTTCACTTATATCTAGACAGCATTTTTCGAAATACATGTGGCACAGATGAGGAATGTGAAAGCCAGGATTAGAAACCTTTTGCACTCAGCATAAACAAAAAAAATTCGAATTTCCAATACCAAGGGTCAAGTGGGTTCGTCGTGGCGTGTCATGAAAAGCATTTCAAACAGACTACTGAAGACATTTATCAACAACTGTCTTTGCTGATTCTATATGCTGAAGACTACATATGGTCGGAAAGGATTAGTAACATGAAACTCTGGGAATGAAGCAATCAAGAATATGTTGCTCACTTTAAGTATGTAGAAGAAAATGGAGGATACCGTTGGATGAAGTCGTACGCCAGGTCCTCGAGGGGAACTCGAATGGATAACGATGAGCTATGTGTAAGTGTGAGGAAGAGGCAAAAGCGTATGGGCGGCACTCACTGGGCCAGGCCAAAGGTGACTGCAGAGAACAGGGCGAAATGGAGATGTGTTGGTGGAGCCCCATATCCTGCTGGGACACCAAGGGAATAATAATGACATAATGTCAGTCGTGTGCATCGGTGGCTTACTGGTCGACTGCGCAAGTGGTTCGGAGTCCGATCCCCGACCGATGCACTCCCTTTACCTGGTCAACCCGGCAGTAAAAAACGTGGTAAAGAGGGAAGATTGGGTTAGTGTGAGGCTACCAACCCTATCCCGTAAAAACACCACTGCTACTGAAACTTCGAATCACTAGTCTAAAACCATACGTTCCATTGGGAACTGAAATGAATAAAAAAGAAAATATTGCCAATATTGCGTTGTTGGTGCATTAGTAGAATACTCGCCAACCACCCCCACGTGGTCCTGGGTTTGATCTTCGGCCAATGCATTCCTAAATCATGCTTAAGCGGTAAAGAGAAGGAAGGAAAGGGGTCAAGTGTGGGCTGCTAACAACCTTTCACCTCATAGAATAGAGACAAAATCACATCTACTAACAACACATCAAAACTAAAGCTTGAAGCCTTATGTTCCAGTTGGAAAAGCAAAGGAAATATTGCCAATCACAACGCGCACTTACCCTGATTGACTCTGCAGGTCATCCTGTTCACCACCGCCAGTAGCAGCATTCTCTGGTGCTGTTGTCTCTGTTGTCATCCCACCACCAATTCCCATGCCCATATTATCCATATCTCTAGCCATACTTTCATCTGGACCACTATACAATCCAGTTGCATTACGAAAGTGCATTCCACCACCGGTATTTGCGCCATACGGTAGACCAGTAGAATTTGAAGCAGGCATAGCACCAGCCGGTCCAATATCCTCTAGTACACCGACACCGTCATTCGGTGAAGTGACTTTATTAGCACCGAGTAGACCACTGTGCATAACAGTTTGATTACCAGGCTGCTATATATATGTATATGAAAATTACAGAAAAAAATATAGTTTACTCTAGAGAAAATTGATTTTTTTTACTCACCAGCACCCACACACATGTGCATGTCAGTGGTGGTTCAGCGATAGACTGCCCGCCAACCACGGGTCACATGGTCCGGGGGGGATTCAACTCCCGAGGCTGCGACACACTACTCCACTCAACCTCGCTTAGCCGAGATAGTAGTAGTAGTAAGTCTGATGGGCCGCCTTGAGGCTAGCTAGTGACCACCCTACCTCGTAAAAGAGAATAACACCCAATTGATAGAGAAACTTCAAAGCTTGAAGCCCTATGTTCCACTTAAAGAACATCTGTCTGTCTGTCCGTCTGTTTTCGACATAGAACTTTGCACCGATGTGCAGTAGTTCAAGTCGCCACACTCCATGTAGCACACAAAGCAAGAGAAGAAAGTAGAAGAAATGCAAAATAGAGACAGTAGACAGGGATATGAGACAAAAAGAATAGTAATAACGAAGAACAATATAGTTTCATTGGATATTATAAGTCACAAGTAGTGGATGCATTTGTGCCATCACTGAGAATGATTTTGAGCCATTTCACCGATTGTCTTCGACCTTCATTGGTTTTTATAGTCCCAAGGACCCCAAGAAGGAAGCCTACACCTTCCTACATGGCTTAAACTAACTGTTGTGAACCTTATTGACTGGTGGCATGTTTTGGTTTGACCGCCGCTAGCTCTTTTCCAAGCTGACCCTATATCAGCTAACATTGTCCATCGAGGAAGGCGATGGTTAGCGATGCATGCATAACAAATGTCCTAACCATCTCAATCGGTGTAATTTCCCAGCCTCATCTATTGATTTCTCCTCCCAACTACCTAGCACTCGACGTCTAACCTCAATATTGCTCACCTTATTATATCACTTGACAAACACAGGAGATAGAACGCAGGCACCTATGATCAAAGATAGCTAATCTTTTCATGTCTTCCAATCTCAATGGCCAGGTCTCACAGCTGGCCATAAAGGAGGACGGAGAGAACTGCTGAGCAGTACACCCACCCTTTGGTCGATAGCCAGCCGGATATCACGTCTACACCAGAAACGGCGTAAACTGGCATATGCGATTTCGTCAGAGATCAACCCTCTAGAGCTGGCTGATGTAACTTCCCAAATAAGTGAAGCGGTCAAAGTGCCCTACCACTTCACTCCCTATTTCTAAACTAGGAGTCAGTGTAGTCCAGTCCTGTAACATCATCTTACATTTGACAAAGGCAGCGAATCGCATGACTTAAAGAACATAAAGGAATAGAACAAAGTAATAAGACACACACGCACAGACATACATGAGAGAGACTATGAACTATATGACAGACATAATAAATAAAGACAACTGACCTGACCAAAATATGGAGGTAAATATTCATCAACTTTATAGCGTAATTCATTCGGTGAGGTACCACCACCCCCAACACCATTATCTTCATTTGTTGGATAACCGACGCCACCACCACCAGGCATGTTGTTTGATTGTCCACCACCAGTAGGCTGTGATGGTGGTGGTGCTGGCGGCCAATGAGATCCAACACCACCACCACCACCAGGACCTAGCAAGGGTGTGCCACCACCAGTCAAGCCATGATCATTACTAGCACCAGGAGTTTGTTGTTGATTACCATTCACTGCATGCTGATGAGTTGGTGAGGTAAGACCAGAAGCATTTTGTACACCATTATTCATACAACTTGTATTACCGGCACCACCACCAGGTGGGAGATTTGTTAATGGTGGATTTGTTACTTGTCCGCCGCCTGAAGTGTGTGAAGATCCTGGAGGCTAGATGTGAAAGAGAAAAAGGAAATAATATATAATATAATACTATAATAATAATATAAAATATAATAAGCTTAATAAGCTTTCATCAAACAACAATGGCTCCGCACTTCCCTCATACCACCCCTGTACACACACCTCAAATGACAGAATACTCAATTCAACTAATAAATCTCTATACTTACTTACTGATTTCAATTCAACAGAAGTAAATACTTCCATGGCAAGCATGAGATCGTGAATATCATCTTTGAGTACATTTTTATTATTATTTTACTCATTGACGTTTCGAGCTAAATTTAAGGCTTTGAAGTTTCGGTAGCAGTGGTTTTTATTTTTACGGGGTGGGGTCGCTCTAGCCCCTCCTCACACGCTAACTCAACCTTCCCCCCTCTTTACCGACCTTACTGCCGGTTTAGTGAGGTTTGGTAGTGCGTTGGTGGCCGGGGATCAAACCCCGTATATCACGTGGTGGGTGGTTGGCGAGCGTTTCTACCACTAAACCACCGACGCACTGCAGTACATTGGCTATCGGTTGCGCTATATCGTGAATTGGCAGAAGTTAGAATTCATGGGCCATTGGATCAGATCCCAGTGGCTTAGTGGTATACGAGGTCGTAAGCTTTGTAACCAGAAGGCCCGGGGTTCGAACCCTGGTGGTGGGTGCGTATTGCTGAAGAGTCCCAGACTAGGACGAAACGACTGACTGTCGAGTACTCCCAGGTGGTTTTCCAATGGTTCTCTAACCAATGTCAGCTCATGATGAAATCCTGTAACCAATCAACCAAATCCCCACAAACCAATACTTGAACATTAAGTAATATCAAAATAGGCACAATTACAACTGTTTACTGGTGGACAATAATAATAATAATAATCTACAGCTTCGTTTGCTTAGCATAACTTTGACTGACAGTTAACAAATATAAATTTAAGTGCTGCCGTACATAATTGGCGATAATGATGTTTGGGCTCAGAGTTGTCGAAACAGCTTCTGTACCCCAGCCTACAGGGGTTATACAACTATTGTGTGAAAGCTGAGGATTACACCACTACGCAGTTTTTGCCTAGGTTGATGTAGTCGACGAGGAGGGATCTGAACCTAGGATCAGTAGATGGTTGATATTCGAGGGGCTTGTATGCCATTGGGCCATTGTTTCTCCACCAAAAACATTATCGGTGCTGGGTTGCAGAATATAGCCCTTGACAGATCTGGCAGTCATAAAGCCATGAGAACACTATCAAACCACCATGTGACAGGACAGGCTCAGTGTGAATTCAATAACACAGAACACTATTTTCATGTAACAGATTGAAGTAGATGAACTAGGATCTCAACTCTTCACTCACTGATTGAAAGCCGATTGTTCAAGCCAGTAGTATCGAAATCAATAATGATGGAAACAAAGGTACCCTTTTACTGCACAAAGTTAGGAGTAGAATGCTATCGAGGAGAAGAAGTATCGCTATAATGCGTTATTTACGTGGGCTGGTTCTGTCGGCTTTACAAATCCATCCATATACTTCATAGCACATTACACATCACTACTTAACAGAGAGGTAAATTTGCTCTGCCTTCTTGGACAGTTTAAATATAATTAGTATGAAAACCATTGCGTTACCGGATATATAACTCTCTTAGAGAATGCAAACTCTACACACACTCACTTCAGCCGAATATTTCATATTAGATTGTAGTATTTTTTTTCTATGACCTTTTCTGGCTACACTTCTTTCACATTTCACGCGTTCCGAGTGGAACATAGAGCTTCAAGCCCTTCCTGAAGCTTCAGCAGAGGTGGTTTTTTTGGGGGGGAGGGGACAGAATATGATCTGCTAGTCTTAGGCTCATCCTACCACCTTTTAAAGCTAAGCGACGTTTAGGAGTGCATCGGCCAGAAAATTGAAGTCGGCCTTCTCGCGATGCACATCACTACCCCCTTGGCAATATACGTGTGTAAAACTTGGACACTGTGGTAGTAAATAATTCCATATTAGTTTGTTTATTAAATCATCCCATCCTATGTCATTAAAAATAGAATTGGTGAAATGTTTACGTAACAGGGCACAAAAACTAAGCAGTACCAAGGAAAATCTAAGACACGAAGTGAGGCTTATAAGAGAAGCTTTGGAACTTAATGATTACCCTGATAAACTAATCAGGAAGTATGTAGGAAAATGTTAAAATAAAATATATAATAATAGTAGTGATAGTGATGATAATAATAGTAATATTAATGACGACATGCATGTCAAACATGCGCAGGATAATGACAACACCAACAATAGGGAATTCAAATCATCAGTAGTACTTCCATACAAAGAAGGAACCTCGGAAACATTGCGGAGAATTCTTAACAATTCAGGAATAAAAGTGGCTGGCGTTCAAACCCCACACAAACTCAATTAAGAACAAGCTTTGTCGGTTAAAGGACCAATCCTGTGAAGCAATTAAAACAAAACAATTTAGTTTATCTAATACCCTGCCTGCAATGATTGCAGGGTCAAATACATGGGTAAAAGTAGTAGAACAAGGTCAGTCAGACTAGTGGAGCATAAAAACCTAGCAAAATCTAGATTAATTGACCGAAATAAGATAAGGACTCTGGAGAGTAGTTCAGCAATACCACTCACTACACACAATTACACACAAACGTACAACAGGATGGGTCAAGATGGCAGTTTTGAAATCTAATGTAACAGGTTGGATTGGGAAGATTGATGACAGAAGCTTTGTATTTATCGAATCAATTGCAAACACGTGTAATAGGAATGATTCAACAACTGTCCAGCCAGATATCTGAAAAATTCTACTACCCCTACGACGACAAATAGGAGAGAACAAAGAAAACTACAAAACTCAAGTTTTGAAGTTGTGTGATTATAATTGATGATATGATTATGAACAGTAATAAACTGTGTTCGAAACTTTGTCATCCAATGAATAATAATACTGTTTTCAGTGACTGTGAGATATATCTAATAAACAAACTAATATGGAATTATCGCCATAGCCAAAGAATTTTAAATGCAGTTGTGGTTAATTGAGGTTAGTTTAATAAGTGACGAGGCGTTTTTAAGCAACAGTCAAAATCACTAGAGATACGTATGCAGTGAGAAAGAGAGGGAAAGACAACTGTATCTCTTCAAACTATCTAGTTGAAAGCGAATGTGTCACATCATCGCTACCATTATTCAGTACAATCATTCATGAAGGATACACACATATCCCCTCATTCACTTCAACAGAGTATCCACTGATCATATGGAGCTGTGGCTCTTCGGTCTAGGTGTTTGACTTCCAACCACTGAATCACCAGTTCGAACCACTCTTCATCTACTGAGGTTTGAGCAGACAGACAGTATCAATAGCCCTTATGCAATGAGTGTGGTTCATTGCCAACTGCATGCAAACGCAATTGGTTGCTGAGTAAGTACTATTTCGTTTTTTTCCACTACTCATCAGTATACATCACCATCTGTAGACTGTGTGTTAATATACACTGATCTAACTGGTGTCACCTTGTGAGCAAACGTGAAACAAACGAAATTCTTACAAATTAGCTCTTGAAATTTAATCTGATGCTCCCTAACCAGTGAGATTCACCTGGTCAAGCATGAGCAGAAATACTCGCTGATAATATTGACTGGTGTCAGTCGCGCTAAGATCACGAATTGGTGGTCGCTGGAATTCATGGGCCACTGGATCGGGTCCCAGTGGCTGAATGGCCCTAAGAGCTCGCTAGCCTTGTAAACGGAGGGTTCTGGATTCGAACCCTAGCAGTGGGTGCGTACTGATGAAGAGTTTCAAACTAGGACATCAGAAACAGCTGGCTGTCCAGTAGTACTACACCCCCTAGTTTTTCAGTGGTCTTTCAACAAACGTCAGCTCATGATCAACCTTCAAAATAAAACATTCATTAACACCAAAGCAACAATATGTGTTTGCAAAAGTACGCCATAACATAATATAATATGCATATTATTTACCTTAGCACCAGGTAATGGTCGACTGCACCAATCGAATTCCCAATCACATTCCCAACCTTTTCGTTGCATTAGATCTGTAAATCCCCAACGTAGATATTCATAATTGGGTTCTTCGAAGAAATCTAAACTCCGGACATATCTTAAATAGGTAGCCATTTCTAAAAAAACACGAAGCGAAGGAGAACAAGCGAAAACAGAAATCATCAAGAGGTTAATAGATTATTACAAAAGAAACTGTGTAGATATGAACAATTAAATTAACGACAATCTTTACATACTACTACTATTGCATGACGTTAAATGCAGTCTGTGGAAGAATTACAAAATTGTGGACGCTGTATATAGAACCAACCTATAACAACACCACAGGAACAGAGCATCTATACTACAACAGACTAAAGAAAATAACCAAGTACTAAATATGTTTTACATCCCATTGCGCCTTAGTGACCAACTACAGGATGTACTTCCTGGAGGAGTACTGTGAAGCCCAAACTGGCAGAGTACAACAAGTCCAGTGTAGAGGCGGGACACTCAATGATGATGTTGGCTGGTTAGTGGTGGTACCATATATTGTGAATCAGCGGGAGTTGGAATTCAGATCCACGTGGCTAAACAATAATGTTCTTACCTCGTAAACGAAGGTCTTATATTTCAATTCGAACACCTGTTTATTTCTTTTCCGGTTCTCATAGGTACCTTAAATGAAGTTATTCTATGGTGAAATCCATCTTAGCCTTCAAAATAAGATCATACACAAGGTTGAACAAACAAAAACCTTCAAATGAGAGTAGAACCTCGCCCAGTTTTCCAGCCAGTATCCCCAAGCCCGAGAAGAAAGAGAGGGTTGGGGACAAACCAACCAAGAGCCTATTGCTCCATGAATATGTAGGAGAAAATGGAGATGGATTTGGCACACATTGAAGAAAACCTTGAATAACATCCCACGCACCAGACTGAACTTCGAGTGGGAAAAGACTAGTTGGACGTTGGTCCGAGGGTGAAATGGAGGTCAATCAAATAGGAGATGAGAGACTATGGGCAGTCGTTTTTTATTTCTGTTTTATTCCTTTACATTCCCAGTGGAACATAGGACTTCAAGCTGGAAACTTGGAGTTTCAGTAGCAGTGGTATTTACTGTTACGGGGCGGGATTAATAGCCTCATGTCCAACCTTCCCTTTTTACCTATCTTATTACTAGCTTAACGAGGTAAATGACTGCATCGGCCGGGAATCGAACCCCTAACCACCACCTGCGTAGTTGGCGAGCATTCTACCGTTGTGCCGCCGACGTACAATGGGCAATCGTGTGTGACTGACCAGTTGAGGAGCACAGCAGAGAATAAAACAAGGTGGAAATGTGTTGTTGAAGTCCTAATGTTCCACTCGGAACCCAAGGGAATCGATATTAGATGCACCCGACTGTATAGAAGGGAAATAAAAGTCACCTTTCCTACAGATATATATATATATATTTAAATGATTTCTTTTTGGCAACCTTATTGTCACAAAAAAAATCTGTGTGATAAATTGTCTAGTGATGAAAAGAAGATACATAAACTTTGAAAAAAGTGATAAAGGCTAATATAGATGAGTGAGTAAACATGCATGCACACACACACACAAACCCACACACATACATGCATACACATCTACAAGAAAGAGAGGAAGCTGGTAATGTATGGATAGCTAAAAGGCTTGAAATTAAAAAGACAGAGAAACAAGATCTCAGTTTTGCTAATATAAAGTATAGAAATTTACGAAACGAACGAACGGACATATATGTATACGTACAGGAAATTAAGATTCTCTTCTTTATAATAAATGTATATATATATATATATATATACATATATATATATATATATATATCCTATTAAACGTCATATAATCAGGATCAATTACATACGTAAGCTAGTGGGAAGTAACCATCAGTGAAGGGAGTGTCGAGATGGTATATCGCACTACTAATCACGGC